TATTTGTTTTATTTCTACATGCAACTTGGTGACACCCTGGTTTGAATAAGTTGATTTGAAATTTCAAAGTTCTTCCCTAGCAACCTGGCCTTCGCGACAGGCTCTGATGACACGACATGTCGTCTGTTTGACATTCGATCTGACCAGGAAGTTGCTCTCTATTATAACGATGGTAACGAGTGTGGAGTTACCTCTGTGGGCTTCTCATCCAGTGGCCGACTGCTCTTTGCTGGCTACGATGATTTCAAGGTTCAGCTCTTTGACTCCATCAAACTGGAGAAAGCAGGTGTGTCCTTTTTTTTTTTAATTATTTCTCCATGATGTTTTATTTCTAACGTCCTACCTCCGGGAACTGGGTCTCTGGACGCTAAACGAAGATTGATTGATTGATCTTCGTGATGTAGTTGAATTAGTGATTGAAATGGAATGAAAATATTAATCAGGTCAGTTGTTGGGTCATGAGAATCGTGTCAGTTGTCTCGGAGTCACAGAGTCCGGCAACGCATTAGCAACTGGGTCGTGGGACAGTGTCTTGAAGATTTGGAACTAATTTAACTTAATGTTTTTCGACTGGAGAGAGTTTCATCTTTAGATGTTTATTTGACTTTGGATGAATTTTTATCCGTGAATGATTTTTTTTATCTATGGTCCCCTCTTGTTTTTAAAATCTTTTCATTTTAGTTTCTTTTATAAGTTGAAATAGATTTGTCAAAACGAATATTTTTATAACTTAGAGATGCTCGTTTTTAAAAGTTGCAGTTTAATTTTTATTTAATACGTTTAAAAATTTATTTTGTTTTCATTTTTTTCTTCCAGCTCTTGCATAAAATACCATCATGTCTTGTTATTGCAATTGTAATTGATTTTTTAATTTAATAAATCTAATCATTGAAACACTCAATCAATCAATCGATCAATCAATCAATAAATCAAGCAAGCAAGATGATGCATTCGATTCTTGCAACCAATATTGCCCAAATCATTAATTTTCATTGCTTCTCAGTTTATTTTCTATTGTTTAAATTATTTTTTCACGATTCTATCATATATTTTCTAGATCATTCAATCATGTGACAATCAAACAAGCTTCCAAACATCAAACAAACAAACAATGTAAATTCTGTATCAATTAGCATAGAAAAGCACACACGCACACACACATCCTCTGTAAGCAATGGTTTTGCTCTTCCAATGTCTTGTAGAAGGTGCGTATTGAGCTATGAAAATATTTAGAATAATTTAAATTGCGCGGATGAAATTTTTTTATTTAAAATTCTATTATGTTTTATTGCATTTTCATTTATTATATTGTACAAACAGCTGTTGTTCACTGGCTAATCAGGCTTGTTTTTTATCATCCTCATTTTCTTCGTTGATTTCTTTGAATCATCGTTTTGTTCTTACTTTTAATTTGAATTGCAAGTGAAAATTGAATGGTGGACTGATGATGTGACGATGACAATGCGATGATGGTGATGGTAAGGATGATGACTTTCATTTAACTTTCCTCGTTCAATTTTGTTCAACGTGATTTTTTTGTGCCTTGAAGCTCCAGTCCTTGTTCTTTCCTACTCTGTCGTTCAGAAATTTCATTTCAATGGCTGCTTCTTTCATTATTTGTGTTCATTAAAGTGACTTTATATTTTCTATTTGCTAGAGATAATAAATTTTGTTCTAATTAAAATTTGTTGTTTTATTAAACTGGATGTGATCCATGTTTGTATGCATTGTGTGATTTCATTTGTTATAAAATATATCTTCATAGACACAGTCAACGTTGAGAAGCTGCTTAATGCTGGCATTGATTTTAAATGACAACCATCAAATACGATCACCTACCTACCTACCTACCTACCTACCTACCTACCTACCTACCTACCTACCTACCTACCTACCTACCCACCTATGTATTGCAGCAGTCGTCAATTTCCTAACACAGTTAACATGCGTGGCGATTCATGCATGTTCCTATGTGGTGCTTCAATGTGATTAATGTTCTGCTATCATTATCTGAATGACGTTCTAGCTGTTCTTTTTTATACATGCACTCATTAGTTTAGAATTATTTTAAAGGCATAACAATCATCAGGCTTAACTCATTTTGTAGTTTCGCCTGGCTCTTCTCACGCGATTGATTGCCCAGCGCAGTCTATACTCGAGCAGTCAATAGAATTGAACGTGGAATTACATTGAAATATTATTCAACTATTTCGCTTAGAATCAACACAGCAATGATTTGATGCATTTTTGTCCTTTTAAATTTTACTAACAGATGAATGTGGTGTTACTCATATTAAACTAACTATTTTTGATTCAATATTTCTATGTTGTAATTGCTATGAAGTAAAAATTCGTTATAAGAATAATTCATATTGTTCGGCATCGTCGTTTCATTTTATTCAATGTATGGAAAGCTAATGAGGAGGCGACATGTATAAATGTAAAAAGTGAACAACAGGGTTAAGTCGCGTACAACTGTACAACCTGTATCGGTATTTCATCAGTCACCAGCAACGCGTGCATAAGCACAGCAGGGTGTAAGTTTTACTAAATACATAATTTTAATACATATACTGTATATACGAGGCGGCCGAAGAAATAATGCGTTACTGATGTAAATATCAGTTATGTACTATTGAATATTTGAAATTTAAAATGTTCTATCATCACCATCGTCGTCATCATCATCTTCATCATCACCCTCTAGCCAGTTTACAATTTGAAACTTTTATGGAACCGCCCAGGTATCCAAGGTCACATAGGACTGCATTGTTGTCGAAGTCAAGTTCACCGACATGATATTCCGGGTTAACTTTCATCTGGTGGTGTGATGATGATAACGAAGATGAGGAGGAAGAGGAGGACGACGACGATGAGGAAGACGGATGAATGGATAACCTTAAACGTGAAATTTCCAACTGACATTTCAGAGATGTCCACCCACTGACAGTCAATATCGTGAGCGTAGATGTCCGCACACCCGATCGTTACACCTGACGACGATGATGATGATGATAGTTAATTAATATTTATAGGTTGAATCTACTTAATTAATTATTCATGAGACCTTGATCTCCAAAGCCATCGCAAGCGTAGAATTTTTTGACACCATCGATGCAGTAGTTGTCCTCCAAACAGAAACTGGCCTGTTAATGGTCATGATGATGATGATGATGATGACGATGATGTGATGATGACGATGATGTGATGATGACGATGATGATGTGATGATGACGATGATGATGTGGTGAGGATGATGACGGCGATAATCATGAAGGAATGTGAAGAACCTTATGCCCGTGTGCCACTCGGTTGCCAAGCTGGTCGATGATGTCGTATTCCGCGAAGTTTGACATGCTGTGATAATGTCTGTTTGCCATATATTATCATCATCATTATTATTATTACCATTATTATTGTTGTTGTTGGTGGTGTTGTTGTTGAGGTTGTTGTTGTTGGTGGTAGTGTTGTTGTTGAGATTGTTGTTGTTTTTGTTGTTACAAACTTGTGACAGAGGTGCCACTCCCAATCATCCTTCCTTCCGTGCGGCAGGAACTCAGCGGTCCCGAAGTTCCACGTCATCGCTGAAAACCTCAACAACCTCCGCTTTATCGATTGCCAGTCTGTTTGTTTGTTTGTTTGTTTGTTTGCTTGCTTGTTTGTTTGGTTGGTTGGTTGGCTGTTTGTCGAAGAATGCTTGAAAAAATTATTATCACCATCATCATTGTCATCATCATCAACAACATCAACAACATCATTGTAACCTGATCTTTTCTCCCTGAGGACAAAAGCCTCAGGTGCGGCGCAGTTCTCTTCCATGGCGCACTGCAGATAGGCCATCGGTTGGTCCTGCAGGTACATAGACTTCTGGATCATCGTCGCGTTCGGTACTAAATCAGGCAGTCCTTGAATGTATGTATGTATGTGTGTGTGTGTGTGTGTGTGTGTGTGTGTGTGTGTGTGGTGTGTGTGTGTGAGCGCGCAAAGAATGAATACAAACGGAATGAGCACATGACGGCAGCCACCCATTTCGAAGAGACCGTGCACTCGGTGTCGTCTCCGTAATGACGATGGTGACAGTCGGACAGCTTCTCTTCGTTGCCGTCACATTCAATTCCTGATGCCAGCCGAACCATTTTATCCCCTTTGAAAGCTCCTGTCTGTTGTTCGTTTGTTTGTTCGTTTGTTTGTTCGTTCGTTTGTTTGTTCGTTTGTTTGTTCGTTTGTTTGTTCCTTCATTCGTTCGTTCGTTCGATTGTTTGTTTGTATGCAAATACTATATCTGTGCATGAAGTTTCAATGTGGACGAGTTTGAAACTCTTGCATTTTTTTAAATAAATTTTTGTTCGGCATCGTTCTCATGTGGCTTGTGGAATATCGCATCGCATTGAACCATACCGACCTTGAGAGCATTCCTTGAATATCCGAGACCGAGTTGGTAGCAAACGACTCTGGCCTCCAGGTTGGTCCAGCTGTCCGGGCAGATAACTCCCCACATCCCGCCAATCAGAATTTCTACACGACCTTCGCTCGAAGTTCGGCCGCCTTGCAATCTGACCTCGTACGGCTGACGTGTGTGAAGAACAACGTGCGACTGAGATGTGTGGTGGTGAAGCAGCAGCAGCAGCAACAGCCACCAACAACCACGACCATAAATGATCGAAGCATCATCAACATCATTTTTCATCATCAAAATAATTTTCAAGTCGCATGGCTAACTTGTGGTGAGTGGATGACTCTGCTTGATTTCAATGGCGTCATTTTCTCCATGTTCATCATATCTTTGTATAACCTGCACACAAAACAACGTACATACACATTCACACACGCACACACACACTCACTCACCTATGCTCTCTAACAATTTGTTGCAAGGAATCATTGGCCCATCTGCTCGAGTTTCTCCAGCGATCATCTGACTCAACAACTTTCACTGCAACCAACACAACTATTATCAAGGTCGTCATCTCAAATGATGATGATGATGATGATGATGATGGTGATGATGATGATGATGATGATGATGACCGTCGATATTTGTCACGAATCATGTTGAAACATTTTTTCGATGGTGATGACGTTGGCATTTCCGATGATGATGATTGATGGTAATAATCTACTTAATGGTTTATCCTCAATAACTATTTTCGTTTGGCTCAGATAATTTTATGTTGTTGTTGTTGTTGTTGTTGTTGTTGTTGTTGTTGTTGTTGTTGTTGTTGTGATGACGTTGTTGTTGATCCTTCCTGCTGACGTATTAATTTTGTTTTGATTTTATTTTTAGTGTTTGACGCCTCTTCTTTCAACAACAGTTGTTGAAATTAGAAACGCATATTTGAGGTATAGATTACAGTTACATAACAACAACAACATCAACAATAACAACAGCATCACCAACAACAACATCAGCATCGTCATCAACAACAACAGCAACAAAACCATCAACATAACTTACATGTGCAATAAACTTCTATTCCTTATAAAAAAAACTGCAGAAAGCATCCGGTGTGCAAGGAAACTGCTCGAACACCAATTTATCCAGATAACATTTAAAAATAAATTTTTAAAGTCTAGAAATCAAGGAAAAAGTACCATGTATAACTCTAAAGAATAGACTCGATGAGGCAATCTAACGAACTTTGGATGGCGACAGATTTTTATGACGAGACATCTTCATATAGATAGACATAAGGAGACATCTTCATATAGATAGACATAAGGAGATGCACACACACACACACACACACACAAATAAACAAATAGATAGATGTATAATATAGATGATAGACAGATTGACAGATGAACAAATGAATGAATGAAGGTTACACAGAAATTTAGTTTTTCACATCACGAGAACCTCCCATTTAAAAGTCCAACTTTTATTATTATTTGCATTTTCAGTCTTATAATTACAAAAAAAAGATTATTAAAAAAGTAATAATAATAAAATTATTCAATTTCATTTAATATTGTTAATACGGTTATTATTATTCGTAAGTAGAATTTGAAAAGCTTTATACAATTGGAAAAAAAGATAAAGTCAATCATCGTCATCATCAACATTTTCAACATCATTATCATCGTCATCAGTAACATCATCATCATTTCTTTCCTCCACCATTTTCCTGTTGCACAGACATATTTAGCGTTTAAAGTTTGTTTTATTGTTTGCACGTATGCAGATTTTTATGTTCGTTCGTATGTTTGCTCGTTCGTTAGTTCATATGTTTGTTGTATGTTTGTTGTAGATGTATATATAGAAGCGCTAACAGGCAAATCTGTCCGAAAATGAATTTAATTCGTAAGTAAGTTAGAGATTGAGATGAGTTGGACAATCGTAGGTAGGCTGAGGCATTAACATTAGGTAAAATTATTAAATCATACAAAAAGTGCAACGTAAAAACGTTAAAATAAGTAAAATAAAATACCTGGAACATGTACAATACTTAAAATTTAGTGATACAAATTTGTAGTTAGCTGAGGTGAGTTAATCATTAGCCGTGCTCTTGTAAGCTAGGGCCCTGAGAGTAATTTAATTGTAGGTAGGTGACTGACTACTATTCTTGCGACTTCTTACTAGTTTTGTGTGATGTGTTTGTTTGTTCTCGCTTCACAGCACCACACCAACATAACAAATTACTTTTTATTCTCGTCGTCGCCTTAAATTTTACCTTTTTGAACAATCTTTTTAATAATGTCTATCTATTTATTTATTAAATGTTGACTGGTTTCTAGTTTTTTATTTTAGTTATTTAATAATAATAAATAATAATTATTTTCTATCGGTCGATATTTCGTTATAGTTGGTTGTTTGAAATCCGAACTTTTTAAAAAATTGACACTTTAAAAATTTTAATTTTCCATCATCTTTCATTTTTGAATGATATCAAAGCGACTATTGTTTCCCTTCTTTCTTTATTTAAATCAAAATTATGTCAAAATGATTGAAAGTGATGATAATTTAGAGGAGACAGTCAGATCAGTTTTGGACCGTGGAGTGGATGTCAAAACTACGATGCAGCTTGCAGGACGTACCTCAACATCTCGAAATCAATTATAAATGAGGCATTAAGAAGAATATCAAGTTTATATATTATTGATACAATCACTTTCACCAGTTAACAATCACATCGACAACTTCAACACCAATGTGATTTGTGCTAGTTAGTAGTGTAATAAATAAAATGAACAACTGCAGCCCTAAACAACACAGCGCTGACGAAATGAATGCGACGGAAGGGAAGCACGTTGAATGACTCCTCCTACTGACTCCTACTGCATTCTTATCGGCGTCTTCCTCCTGCTGACGTTCGATCCGTTTTCAAATCGGTTATCGACGGAATCGCACAACCCTGAACGTTTGCACATTCGCCCGAATATCGAACCGACCGACTTCCTAAATTGCCTGCCCGTCAAATAGTAAAGCAGGAAGTTGCAGGCGTAATGCGACAGACAGATTTCCTCTGCTATCTTACGATACAACAAATAAGTGATGTGTCGTTGCCATACGGAATCTAACCGAATCTCGTCATCCGACATTTGACTATCTCCAGATGGAAAGTATTCGTATATGACGTAAACAATTGTGGCCGGAAGTGTCGTGAGGATGACGTAGAAGGAAACGGAAAGCAGCATGACGGTCGAAGCTGATGATGATGAAAGGGATGATGATGAAGACGATGATGATGGCTTCGAGAAAATAGCGAAAGATTTTTTAATTTTTCTTGTAAAGTTCATCTTCTTATTGACATCGTCATCACCATCGGCACGGGCCATCTTCAACGTAATTGTGACGTCAGATACTGTGGTGGACTGCCTTGCATCCAAGTGAGTTTTTGAAATCTGTCTGTTGCAGCTGTTGGAAGGGCAGCCGCCCAGCCTGGCGGATCGAACATGGTCGGCCCTCACTTTGCGCTTGACTTCCGCGATGACGAGAACGTTGAAGATGAGGTTGATGGCTGGCAGCAGGAAGAACATAAAAAGTTCGATCGTCCATGTCCACACCGACCACAACTCTGCTGGGCCGATCTCGCACGTGCCCGTGTTTGGCTCGTATTTCCAGAAGTAACCTGGTCGGTTAGTTGGTCGGTGTTTGTCTGTTTGCTTGCATGTTTGTTTGTGTGTTTGCGTACACGTGTGAGTTAGTTTGCACATCAAAACACAAGCAGCAGCGGCAGCAGCAGTAACGGTAGCAAGCAGGAAGAAGCAAAGCGACCTTGCAGTGAGCTGCAGGATGTAGAGAGGAGGACGTCAGCAGCGACGACCTTCACGGCCAGCGATCCAGTGCAGTGCTTCTCTTTTATGAACGGGTAACAAATGGCCAGGTACCTAGTGGCGATGACGATGATGATGACGATGACGATGGTGAGGATATTGATGATGATGATGACGATATTGTAGTATGATGTAGACAAACGAATAATTACACAAACAAACAAGCAAACGAACGAACGAACGAACGAACGAACGAATAAACAAACAAAAATAGGGAAGATTGAGATTTATCGGATGTCGTTATGTTGTATGTACCTTTCAATGGTGAAACAGAGGACGAGCATTGGTGACAAGTATTGAGTGACCATTGATAAAACGTAATATATCTGTTTGTTTGTGTTTCTGTTTGTTTGTATGTGCGGATGTATGTTTGTATGTTTGTTCATTCGTTCGTTTGTACGTTCGTTTGTTTTTTGTGTGTTTGTTTGCTTGTTTACATTTCTCTCTGTGTACTTAAACGATTAAAATGTTAAAAGTGATTATCTGGATTGATGATGACGAATGAATGAATGAATGAAAAAAATGAATGAATGAATAAATGAATGAATGATTGATTGATTGATTGCACAAATGAATAAATGATTGAATGAACGAACGAAGTAATGAACGATTGATGATTTGGAACTTTTTTGCGTTCCATAATGTTCAAGACTGATGATCATGACTGAATATGTTGAGTAGAATCGATTGGCAGTTTAAAATTTAAAAGTTATTTCCATTATAAATATTGAAAATAAAAATTATCTCCATTTTTATACTTTAACAATAAAAATAAATTGGACTATGAAAATTTTTTGAGTCTCATTCAAAATGAAAAATTAGAAAAGTAAAGTTAAGATGATTAGGGAAGATGGGGAGATGAGTCTGAGAGTTTAATAATAATAACAACAACAACAATAATAATAATAGTAATAATATTAATAATAATTATAATTTTATTATTAGTTGTATTGGTAAAACGAGTAGAATTTGTCATGGTCTTAACAATAAAAAAAATTGTTGGCAAACACATTAGGAATAATTAGCAATAAGATAGAAATATGTAAGAACGGCCACACACAGTACACACACACACTCACACACACACATACACATACATTCATGATACACATATATATACATACAAAAGAGCAATAAAAAGGCATTATAGGGTATGTTGGTCTTGCGCGTAGAAGCTTAAATGTTGGCAAAAGAATAAAATTTAATTAATTCCAGCAACTGTTTGCAGTACATATCAACATACATACGTACATACGCGCATAACTCGCATACATACATACATACACACACACGTACAAACACACAAGCACGCACCCACAGACGCAAGCAAAACAGACAGACAGACATATAGACAGAGACAACCCACCTGACAGAGTCCATTGTAATCGACTGCATTGACAAACCAGGCATATTTCAATTCCTGAAAGAAATGCAGTACCAAAAAAATTAAATCGGAGGCAGACAGAGCTGCCAGGTAGATGGCAGAACTGTTGTTTCTGCGCATGCTCCTGCTCTGCCATATCACCAAAGATAATACATTTCCCAATCCACCAATCACGTACCAGATCGGAGTGACGAAACGGTCAATGTCAAGGGCGAGTGGGCAGTGACCTGTACGTTGATGTACGATGTGCGATGTGCGTTGGTTGGTTTTGTGCTGTTGCAAACAAAATTATACCAGCAATAATTTTGTTAGCCTTATAATCGACGTCAACTATCGACGTACAACGTTTCACAGGTTAGCGAGAGGATGAAATGATCTCAGAGGTAATTGTTTTTTAAAAGTGATTTGATCTGGAGCAAGTGGGGGGACATTCATCTTAATGGCCGATTGTCACAAATGTGTCTTTATTAACATGCGTCCTATGCCTCAATAACTTTGCTAAACTTCAAGCAACACATACACTCACTCACAGAGACACAGGCACACACAGACACACACACACACACAGGCACAGACACAGACACACAGGCATAGACACACACGTTTGCTCGAAAAAGGTATTGCGACTTTTGATTAAAAAGATGGAAAAGACACGCAAGAGAAGATTATGTTGAATGCGTGCACATAAAATCAAATGTACGAACGAAACAAGCATTGAATACCAAACCCTGAAAGCCAGCATAGAATAAAAAGCACTGAAGGCTGGCATAGTATACAAAGTATGGACAACACGATTACAAACCTTTCATGAAAAGCATGGGGTCGATATTTGGAGGCGGAAAAGAAATATTTACACTCATTGTGGTCATGTTGAAGTTATTGTTTTTGTGGATTGTTGTGTTGATGTTATCTTTTGTGTTGTTGATGTAGTTGTTGTTTGCGATGTTGTTGTTTGTTGTGTAGCAAGTGATGTTGTCAAGATTTTTGTTGTGTTTTACGTCCTTGCCGTTGGTAATATCAGCTGATCGCCTCGAATATTGTTTTGTGACTGAATGGAACAGATGATGTTTCAATTGTTGCTGGAAGTAACGATGTAGCTGCTGCTGCTGCTTCTGCTGCTGTTGCTGCTGGTGGTTGTGGTGGGTGACAATATAAGACAAATATTTATGACGTGTGTGTGAAGTTGCTGCTGAAGTTGTCAGACCAAAAACTGGCGGGTTCAGCAGGAAAATATTTGGCGTCAACATCTGTTTGTTCTTTGGTGCAGCTGTCAGTTTAAGTAGTGCCAGCGCTGCTGTGGTCGATGATGATGATGATGTCGTCGTCTTTGTTGAGGCCACCGTTAATAAAGATGCACTGAAGATGAAAATTTGAAAATTTCTTCCTGACATCTCCTTTCAGTGACGTTTCTTACCTGCGAAAAAATTTTAAAATGTTTATTTTTTAATTTTTACTTGTTTATGCTTTTCTTTCTTTTGAAAATGAGAACGAGACACGACGATCATCTCCATCATCGTTTTACGGCATTCCTTCCTTCCTTCTTTCTTTCCTTCCTTCGTTCCTTTATTCATATTCATCTTCAT